GTTTTTGACCAGCATTAAGGCTAATTTCTAGTATTTTACCAGCATTAAGCAAATTAAGCAAATCATTTATTTAATAAATATGTGATATTTTTCTATGACTGTTATAACTAAAATTATATTAAAATAAAAGATACATATAAAATATATAAAATAAGGTAAAAAAATAAATTAAAATAAAAAATTTTTTTTCAGTTTACAAATTTACTATGAAATAATTTACAATGTTTATTAAACTGATTAAAACTTATTAGACTAAAATTTTTAATATTTAAAAGTTATAAAAATATTTTAAGAACTCTATAAATAATAATGCATATACCAAGAAAAAGTGTTACATTATATAAACACGATGTTATTCTTGATTAAAATTTTTGAAATTAACAAAATTTAGGCCGGCATTATAAAATTGGCCAGCATTAAGAAATTTTTGGCCAGAATTACGATTTATAATTGGCAATTTAAAAAAGTTTAATATGTACTTTATATTTAAAGGCAATATTATATTGCGAAACGTTTTTTTCTGAGTGTTTTAATATAAAAATGTTTAGTATTGATAAAAAACGTTGTAAAACGTTTTTTTTTTAAGTGTTTTAATATAAAAAAACGTTTCGCACCGTTTTCTTATATTATTATTGATGAAAACATAGCGAAACATTTAGCGATCTATTGGTATTATTAAAAAATCAATCAGAAATTTTATTTATACAATATCTGCCTTATTTATTATTATATGATCTATTATTATTATTAGAAAAAAATTTTGGGAAAAATTTCTAAAAGATTTTATTATATCTATAACACGATCTATTGGCATTATAAAAAAAAATTGGAAATTTTATTTATACAATATCCATCTTACGTATATATATTATACCCATTATTAGAAAAAAAAATTTCAAAAGATCTATAACGATCTATTGGTATTATTAAAAAATAAATCAGAATTTTTATTTATACAATATCTGTCTTATGTATTATATGATTTATTGTTATTATTATTAGAAAAAATTTAGAAAAAATTTAGAAAAAAATTCTGAATGATTCTGTTATGTCTATAACGGTCTATTGGCATTATTAAAAAAAAAAAATAGAAAATTTTATTATACAATATTCATCTTATGTATTATACCCATTATTAGAAAAAAAAATTAAAAAAAAATTTCCAAAAGATCTATAGCAATCTATTGGCATTGTTAAAAAAATAAATCAGAAAATTCTATTAGAAAAAAAAAATTTAGAAAAAATTTCTGTTATATCTATTGATACTATTAGAAAATTTTATTTATACAATATCTGTCTTACGTATTATACCTATTATTAGAAAAAAAAATTTTTTAAAGAAAAAATTTCTGAAAGATTTTATTATATCTATGACAATCAATTGGCGTTATTAAAAAAATTTTCGCTATGTTTTTTATTAATAATATAAAAAATATTGCGAAAATTTTTTTGCAAATGTGATATATCACGTGACCGGTGATATGTATAGAAATTCAATGATCATCCAGGGTAATGTTTGCATCCAGGGTAAATGTTCAAAAATCCCGGGTCATCCTGGATTTTTGAACAGTACGGCGTTTGATAATCCAGGGTAAATCCTGGATTGATCCCGGGTAGCTACCCTGGATGCATCCAGAGTGGCCACCCGGGATTTTTGAACAGTATGGCGCATTATACTTTTTGTAGTTTGTAGTAGTACAAGTGATTCTTTATTTTATTAAGGCAATAATCGACAATTGCAGTTTTAAAGTAATTCGATAACGGCGATAAAACAAATCAATTAAAAAAAAATCAATTAAATTACATTATTATGTATTTTTAATTTTAAGTCAACAAATTAATTAAATTAATTAAATTACATTATTATTATCTACTTTAAATCTAAAAATAAAAAATTTAATCTATCTATAACCTTTAGCTCTGTCAACTCCGTTAACTCCCTTGGTACCGTTAACTTCCTTAGTAGCGTTAACTTCCTTAGTACCGTTAACTCCCTTAGCACCATCAATACCGTTAACTCCCATAGCTCCCCCATAATTGTAATTTGGGTCATAATTGAAATAAGGATCAGCTGAGTAATCGTAATTTTCATCATCTTCATCATTGGGCCCTCTATTAGCATCTCTCATATTAACACCATAATAGGGACCCGAATGATACTTTAGGCTTAACTGACCAAGAGATACCGATTCAGAACATTGTGGATCTTCAGCTCTACATTCAATAAAGGCAGCTGGATCTTGATCAGGATTATTTATATATAATTCTTCACCAAAATGTCTATAGGACCCAATAAATGGAATTGGCCATGTTGGAGGCAAACGAGTAATTGGATCACCACGAACTATAGTTCTTACTGCTTTTATGTTCTCATCAACAAATTTAGCAAATTTTTCATCACCCACTCTTGGTTGACCAAATGTAGAAATAAACATTTTTTCATTTTTAGCTAATTCTGGCGCTTTATGCATAGCATCTAATGCCGCAAATGTAGTAAGTGCTATAGTAAAAAAAAAAAAAGACTGTTAGAAAGTTATAATTAAATATGTAATTTTTTTTTAATTTATTGAACTTACCAGCTCCTAAACTGTGACCCGTAAATCCGACACTGAAATCGGGATTTTCTCGGATTAATTTTAAAAGATCATCGGTAACTTGGGGTTGAATTTGTTCCCAAGCATTAAGAAATCCATGGTGTACCAAACCAGGTGAACCTTCCCAAGCGTCGTGATAAATGATAAAGTCAGAAATGTAATTTTTAATACTTCCTGGTACCGTTCCTCTAAATGCTACGACGATTAATTTTTTTTCTGGATCCTTGGCTATGTAACCTACATATTTATTATTTTGTTAGTAAACGCAAAAAGTTAACGATGTGTGGCACAGTAATAATATAAAATACCCCTTGTATTAAGCCGAGGGTTGTTAAAATCTTTAACTAATTGGGTACCCTTAGTTGCCAGACAGACTTCTCCACAGTCCCAATTTTGAAGAGGAACCTTAACATAAGCAGCAGCAGCGTAATTAGCAAAGCTTATTAAATTAGGGATTGATGTAATGGCACCAAGAGTATTTGGTACTGGAGCAGCTTCGATTAATACTGATAAAAAGATTAAAGAGATTAAAGTAATTAACTTGAAGGATAATGTGTGTTGTAAAAGATGCGAAAAGGAGTTATGCGTGTATTTGGTAGGAGTTGCTTTGCAACTTGAGGGAATAATTTGCTGCTGCATTGCTTATTGCTTTACAGAGGAAATGTTTTAGTATAATGTTTTAGTGTAAAAGAATGAAATGCTGACAGAGAAAAAAACACGTTCTTTTATACATTTTTTGGAGTTATGATGGCATCTTTATTGAAATTCATTAATAGTAAATCATCACACTTTTTCTTTATATCGACAGATTTGATAAATTATCCTGTAAATAATTCTTAATAATTGGACACTTTCAGTGATTGGACTCTTCATAGCTTATTAACTAAATCCAACTGTATAAAGCAACGTTAATATTTGTCCCACATTTGCAAATGTTTGTCATGTTAGATCATTTTGTTTATAAATGGTTAAAATATCGAAGATCAATGACCATATATATTTTGATTTTTAATGTAGGACAAATAAAATCCTGATGGTCGTTTCGGTATTTACGAATTAAAATACATTTCCGAAATTGCATTTAATGTGGAACAATGGAATAAAATAAAACATTGAATCCCGAAGGATAATTCCCGACAATCCCGATATATTAGCAGATGTAATTTTCGTCAATACTAATCCAAATCTAAAGAGGGAAAGGATGGAAAAAAATTAGCAAAAAATACTAGATATGGAAAAATATTATTATTGAAAATGAGGATTGAAAAAAAAGGTGCTTACTATAACACCGCAACATCAATCCGATCTCTGAAGTCTAAAAAAAAAAAAGAATAATTTTAATAATGTACTTATTAATAGAAAAATATATAAAATTAAATGAAAAAATTATATAACAAAAATAGTATAGGTCTATTATAAAGGAATAAAAATTAAAAAAAATTGGTTTAAAAATAGAAAAGAAAATTAAAAGAAAGATTTTCAGTTATACGATAGAAAAATCAAACTGAAACTCTATAAAAAATTTTATCCGTTATTTCTGTAAAAACTCCGTAAAAATGAGCCTTTCTCGGTTCCATTCACGGAAAATGTAAATAATTTGATAAATTCCGTGATATAAGGTTATTAATTCCGGAAATATGAGTCTTTTGCGGAAAAAAGACGGAATATAAAAAAACGGATCGACATTTTTTACGGGGAAAAAGTAATTAAAAAAAAAAATCAATTTTAAAAAAAAACCAAAATAAAAATTGAAAAAAAAAGGTTACGGTACATTTTGCCGAAAGCCATTTTCGCCGAAAGGACATTTCGCCGAAAAATAGGGCCAACATTATGCAGAATTATAAATAACTCAGGCCTGAGATTATTTTTCGGCGAAATGGCTTTCGGCGAAATGTCCTGATACCGATTTTCAGTTATACGATAGAAAAATCAAACTGAAACTCTATAAAAAATTTTATCCGTTATTTCTGTAAAAACTCCGCAAAAATGAGCCTTTCCCGGTTCCATTCACGGAAAATGTAAATAATTCGATAAATTCCGTGATACAAGGTTATTAATTCCGAAAATATGAGCCTTTTACGGAAAAAAGACAGAATATAAAAAAACGGATCGACTTTTTTACAGGGAAAAAGAAATTTAAAAAAAAAATCAATTTAAAAAAAAACTAAAATAATAATTGAAAAAAAAAATTCGGTCTAAAAATAAACTGAAAAAATAAAAAAACAAAAGAGCTAATTTGCAGGAACCTATGGATACCGATTTGGGTTACGGTACATTTCGCCATGGATTTGTTACTACGCAGTTAAGTGATCGCCAACGATTTATAAGCGAATACGAGAACATTGTACCCGAACAAATCTAAAGAACGTAGGGTTTGGATTTATTAAAATATTACACCATCTTATTTGCGATACGGCATTTATTAGTTGGTAAAGATTTGAGGCTATCTATACCAAACAGTGGATTTATGAGCCTACCAAACCACTTGCGACGCTTGATGCAGATCTTGATTATAATTCCTATGATAAAAATTTTGACATGGTCAATATGGTTTCGATTTTAAAAGTTTCTGCAAAGTATTGCGTATTATATTTTTCAAGAATATGATAATGTTTTGTTGGATCTTAATAAAGTTATACAATTGGAACCATCAGATGTCTAACATATTATCAGTTATACAATGAAAGGTATTGATAATTGATTATCTGATGATATATTATAATTCTACAGAATTAAATATATTTCAGTTCTAATATTAAAGATAGCAAATTACTACCTTTAATTAGGTGTAAAATATACTGTATATATAAAAATGTACTATGAAGCAAAGCTTTATCTATGATTAAAAGAATACGTGGATGTTAATAATAGTAATGATTTTTCTAAATGAATTTAGTAAACATACATGTATGTATGAAAGTAGGAGAATACTTAATTCATGAATTTCTTTAAGTGAATAATAATTAATATATATTAATTAATAATGAATTATTTTAGAACTACAAGTTTACTTTCAATTTCAAAAAAATAATACAAATAGGTGAGTAGGTAAGTTTATATTTTGAAAAATTTAATACGTAATAAAATCATTAAATTAATCAATCCAATCTTACAAAAATATATATATTTATTTCAATTATTTTGCAGCAATGCAAAAACTTAAGAGAAAAAAAAATAAAAAAACAGCGCTTACCCGTGGCCCTGCATCTCCAATCCAAACCTAAATGTTAAAGGCGCGTCATTCTTTGACACTTTTTAGGGAAAAAAGCTTAATCGATATCACATGTTTTCATAATCAATTTTTAATCCCCGAGGGCGCAGCAAAGGGTATTTGCCAAATTTCATAAATCCACCGCAATAATATAAAACAAATTAAAAAAAGTTTTTTCGGCTTGATAAGAANTCCACCGCAATAATATAAAACAAATTAAAAAAAGTTTTTTCGGCTTGATAAGAATCGAAAAGTATTTGAAAAAAAAAAAAAAATTCCGGAATGGCTAAAGATTAATAAGATAAATAAACCTAATAGGCACAGATATCAATATCGTTTCCATCTTACACAAATTATTGTACTCGAAATTCTTTTTTCTTTCATTCTGTTATAAAATTCAATATTATGTTACTATTTTTTCTCGTAATTAAACTTAATTAAACAATTTTACCATAATTCTACAGAAAAATATAAAGTGATGTTACGTAAAATGATGTTTTGATACTTAAAGGGAGGAAAATTTAAGTAATTACAGTCAACGCTCGTTATATGAAGCTCGTTATAGTAAATTTGGCTTATAACTTTTTTTATTCCCCCAGTTCACTTACTACTAATAAATCTTATTCGTTATAGTAAACTTACTAATAAAATCTCAATAACCGATACTATCGATCAAGTTTGGCATTACTTTTATATTATAATTAAAATTTCTAAGAATTTAACTTTTATTACCCTATAACAAAAGTTTAATTAATTTGTATATCGGTCAGTAATTCTAACAATGGAAATGTAACATAATTATTGATTTTAAAATGAATCACAAGTTTATTATAAAGTTTAAAGGTAGTATCAGATTTACGGTCAGACCTCGATATGCCGGTATTCGATATACCGATATATTAAAAATTCGATATGACGATTTCCCTATAAAAAAATCGGATACGTTTTTTATAAAGTTTTTATACGATTTTTTTTCCTTAGAAATAACGTATCATGAAAGGATACGGAATTTACACGGGATTCGTATGGAATTTACATGATTTGATCACTGATTTTATCATGAAATTTATACGATTTTGTTACTGAATTTACCATTTATATTACAGTTTATTATAGTTGTATTTACATAAATTTTAATTCTACTTTATTAAATTAAATAAAAATTAAAAATTAAACAAGTACAAATATATTAAATACATCATTAAAATTCCCTTCCTTATCAAAACCACCTATTGCAGCCTAAATTATCTATAATATGTTCAGGTTCATTCAGAGTCAAACAACCCAAAAAAAAAAAGAAATATAAGAATGTTTAACTTAAATGGAAACCAAAACAACTTACAAGAAAAAAATCCAGAATCTGAACCAAACTTACAAAAGAAAAAAGAAACTCTCAAAAAAAATCTGTTGGCCTATGAAAAAAAAGAGATAATATAAATAAAAAAGAAAGGGTAATGAATGGGGAATAAAAGAACAAATCAAAAAAAATATTTTTCTTTAAAAAGAGGGGTGACGAAGTTAGGAAAGTTAAAAAAAAATTTTTTTTTTAAAAGGGAGGATGTCAAAGTTAGAAAAATAAAAAATTTTTTATAAAGAAATAGAAAGAAAAAATTTTTTTTTAAAAAAAGGAAAGGGTGGTAAGTGTGGAATAAAAGAGTAAAGTCAAAAAAAAAATTTTTTTAAAGGAGAGTGATGAAAAAAAAAATTTTTTTAAAAGAGTGACGAAAAGAAAATTTCTTTTTAAGGGATGTGACGAAGAAAGAAAAATTTTTTAAAATAAAAAAAAAAATAACAAAAGACAAAAGAAAGGAAAGACAGAAAGGAAGATCAAAGTAATTGTTAAGGGGGGTTATATAAAAAACAAAAAACGTATCATAACAACAAAACAATAAACAATCACGTGATCACGGGTTATGATACCGGATGATTGTAAAATTATCTTCTAAAATATTAAGTTTAAAAATTCCGTATACATTCCGCATTATTAATTTTTCTGTATACATTTCGTATACGTTAGTTTTTTAAAAAAAATGTTCAAAAATGAATTGCTTATTAAATATACGGAATTTGTATACGGAATCAATAGAAACGTAAGAAACGTACATAAAATGTATACAAAACGTATCCATTCCATATACAGATTTCTTATAGGGTTTCATATAGGTCGCAGGTCCAAAAGGTATTGTTTGTGCAACAGTTTGGCAAAGACAAACTATAGTAAAATCATAGCACCTTGCGCAGCTTTAAACATGCTTTCAGCGAGCTACTCTGCTACGGTTAATTATGTATTCAAATTATTAAATGACCTCATGAAAGCCGAGTATAACAAGATAATGTGCACACGTTCTATATTAAAAATTTGTTTTTAATTTTTTACAATAACCTCTTGTTAATTCCATAAAATTCATTATATATATTTTGCATGATA